AAACTGTGTCGATGAGGTGATACGTGAATGCATACTGCTGAGCAGCAGGAATATCACTTTGGTGATCTTCATTATCATCAAATTAATCATTTCAACACCAACAGTGGTTTGATATGATCGTGACAGTTCGGCCAAAAAGTATTGTCTGTGCTGCACCATACACATAAGTTTGAGTGACAAGAAAGTGAATGTGTTAGAGGCTGAGAGACAGAGAGACTCTTAAGCCCGTATACATATGCACACACACCTGTCACTACACGGGAAAAATATGCACCTCGGCTTCACTCTTGAACTGTAGTCACCATTGATCCGATGACACATGTCATGCACAGCATGTGTAGTTGTTTCCTTAACGAAGGGAAACTAGTTAATTGGTTGCGGAGCTTCGATGGCCATAAACTGCAGGGAACCCGACTCCAGGTACTTGGATCTCAAAGAATCAAATTTCAGCCGAGCCTGCTTCAGACACAGCATTCAGCAATTTCAGCCCACAGGAGAGTTTTTTTTTGGTTGGACATGACGAAACCTTGCTGGGGCGCTTACCGCTTTTATGCTCCTCCATTTCTCTGCCAGATATAAGATGTCCTTCCCAAAACGCAGCAGGATGCAGGCATGTAACTGATCCAAGTCTATCCATATCCTTGCCTGTATCCACCAAACAAACCGATAGTTCGGTATCCCTTAAGAATTCCATTCAAACTCGCCTTATTCACAAATGTCCGTTCAAGATCCACGTGTAAAAGGTCACCAGCAGTTCCACCACATGGCACTTTAGTTCATGGAGGATAAATAAGGACTAATTTGTTGAGCTTTTGAGGCACATTTTGCACATTTGCGAACCTCGCAACAACGTTAGCTCAGATCAATGAATAGTATTGAATACCTAGAAACAAGAAGCTACCACGGTTACATTGCCTTTCTGTGTGATATTACCATGTCTGAACAAAAAATCAAACGCTGGTGAGACTCACTATGAGTCCTTTCGAAGTCCAAGAAGCCGTAGGTTGCTTTTCATAAAACCACAGTGCTGGGGATTCTTGACCTGAAGTTTTAACCACAAAAACCATCCACGAACTTGCAAAAGCACCATTACAACATCAGAAGGTTCAGGACATCACATTCTCCTCCTCCTGGAACAACTCCCTACGCTATGTAGTATAATGTACCCATTTGCTCTTGCCTCGGGGCTATTGAGATCTGCACTGGCAAGATACCTCCTTTGAGAGATGTGCAGTCCAAACCATTTGTCTTAACCCTTCTGCCATACCCAGTCTTACTGACTCGGACTCAGGGAAGACAAACTGCATATAATGTAGTTACAACTTACAATGATTGCCATAATTGGCGCTGTTTATTCCTGCCCAGTTGTTTTCAGGTGCTGCCTACTCTGTGATTAGTGAATGGATGTCATTAGGGTTCATTACACCAACCCACCAGGAATAGTAGTGCATGTGAATAGACAACCTTCTTCCTGCTTCAAGATCCTAAAAAAATCAACACCTTGAGTCATATCTCACAAAGGCAAGGCATCTAGTTCGTCTTTACCTGTGGTGTAGCACCTCCATCTCTACTGGGCCGATTGGGCACTGGATGAGTCAACTGAAGACGCAAAGCAGGATGCTCACTCCCTGATGATAGCAGTGGGTACTTGTATGCCCTGCTTCATAACAACAGCAAGACAGCTTTTATATTGATGAGAAATGATGACACAAATAAAGCGAACCAGTGGGCGAATGTGGGCCAAGGCATGACTTCACCTGCTCATATGGGAGGTGGTACCACTTCCCTTATGAGCAGGTATTGCATCTATGCCACCCCTTCTAGCCACTTTCTCAAACTAGGTTAGCTAAATCCAGTACATGAATTCTTCTTACTGGTCGTTGCTCTTCCCAATATCTCCGTCCTCATCGCTGCCCACTGCCTTGTTTTCCTCTTGCATCCCAATCCTGTCCTCCACCTCCTCCCTCTCTCCCTCCTCCTCCTCCCCGTCCTCCTCCTTCCCCTCTTCCTTTTCCTCCTTTGGGTTGTCCTCCACTATCATTGACAGCTACTCCTCTTCCTCTCAAAGCCTTTGCTCTGCTGGAGCTCCTCCAGCACCCTTGTCATTGTCATCCTCCCTCTCATTCTCCTACGCGTTCTCCACATGTTCAAGGTCGCTATCCTCCTCCATTTCCCACTTTTGCTTTCCCTTCACCACTCCTTACCCTGCTCCTCTGCTTCAATCAGTAACACCCTCTAATTCAGCCTTCTCATAATCCCTCCCCTCTTATGTTATGTACTCTTCATTCTCTCCTTTCCCGTACTCTATCACAGATTCCTAATGCTCTTCCTCCTGCTTCTGCCACTGTCACGACCTCTCCATTCCCTCCTTTACTCCGAATTACCCCCCTCCTACCCTATCTTAAAACTTCATCATCTCCTCCCATGCCTCCTCATCGCATTCTTTCTCATCCTCTGTCCTTTCCCCCCTCCACCTCCTGCTCCTCTGCCTCATCGTACTTGTTCCTCAGACCTCCCTGTTCGCATTCTGCTTATTCTTGCTTACTCGATCTACCTCTTCTCTTGCTGCTCTTCTTCCTCTTATTCTTTTCCCACTCCCCCCCCTTC